ACACACACACACACACACACACACACACACACACACACACACACACACACACACACACACACACACACGATTTTCTCCTGGAATCAATCACTGATATTTTGTTTGTGCAACTTAGTCCTTTTGGAACAAGACAAACTGTTTCATTTCGGTTCAAATTAACCACAGAGCCATTCAGAGGACTTATAAAGTAATTGTTCACACGTTTAACTCCTCCCCACTCTCCACTGATGCAGGTGCTACGGTCATGGTTTTAAATAAAGGTTCTAGACCTCATCTCGTGGGCAGTTGGGCTGCTCGTGAATCAGGCCTGCTTGTGTAGCTCCACCGTTGGCTGTGACCACGCCTGTGGGTGGAGCTAAGACGGTTTATTCAATGACACACCTGAATCTTTCTGATCCCGCTGCATGGGACAAGAAACCAGTTTAGGGCTCAAAACATCTTTCACGTACTAATTGAGGAAGAGGAGAAGGAGCATTTCACAGTTTGGGATTTTCAAGTTAAATAGATTTGTGTTTCGACACAGGTTTTTTGGGAAATGACTTTACGCATTGAACCTTCTTATATTTCTTTGGCCATATGCCATATATAATACGCCTCTGACTCTATATCGCCTCTATATCTCCCGTCCTCGGTGTCACTGTGCTTCTCGAGGCTTCTCACTTTACTCGACCGTTAAAGCGTCCGTTCAATCCCAGCTGCCACATGAACGCCTTCCTGCTCTGATGTTCAGCTAACTGACAGACTGGTGTTGGACTCTTGACCTCGCAGACTGCAGGAGGGAGCCGTGTGCTGACAACAGATAGTGTAAATAATTACAAACACAATGCACTAATTATGAAAAGCGTACAATTGGGTTCCTCTAAGCTGCTTTGCGTGTTTTTTTTATTTTTCCGTTTGGGAATGCAACAACTATTGCAGAGACAGTTATTCTGTAATCTTCTCGAAGCTATTTTTTTTAAATGAGAGGAAATGAAGGCTAATCACTAAGCTCAGCAGCGATCCTTAATGATAAGACCTGCAAAGTGTTTCACATAAAACAAAGAGGGCCGTTGGACTTTTATGGGGTTGACCTTGAGAGCCGGCTGAGACACTTGGCTGCTGGTTTATTAGTTAATTATTACAGGCGTTAAAATACCGGCCCACAGAGCCACTCAAATATTGGTCTTTGAGCTGTAAACGCTCCAGCAGACCGAGCTGTTCCCCAGTTCCCCCGCTCTTATCTTATCTGCCCAAATGTCGCTGCAATAACACAACCTGTTATTTCCCCCCCAAAAAAGTTCCGTGCAGGACGAGGCGGGAAGGAGCGTCTCGAGCTCGCCGAGAGGCCGACGCACTGAGGTCATGCACGCTTTGAGTTTCAGCCGTAGTGCGCTGAACTGATTACGAGCCGAGGGGGGGGGGGTAAAACGAGCCTCTTCTCTTTGATCCATGCCATTGTTCCATACCTGAAGCATGACATCAGGCCCGACTGCCAGAGTAAACCAAAACAGATTTTTTTTGCTTGAAGAGCTGCAACCAAAAAGAAGAGAGGCTGGAAGCGCAGCGTCCTGCAGCCTTTGACATGGCAGACACCGATCTGGTCAGTGTTAACTGCTCAGTATTCGAGGGGGGGGGGAGAGACACCTTTCAGCATTTATCACAGTATCAAATAGGAAAAATCATCACCAGCTACCATTAGCAGATAAGTTCAGAGAGTAAAACCAACCGTTTACATTCCGTATAATTACCGACATTGTTTATGTGTCATCATTAGTGCTGCAAGCTCCATTTAGGTGATGTATTCAACCACTGGCCCTAAACACATCATCCTGCAGCAGACAAGAAACTCGGGGAATGAGTTCTTGAACCGCTTCCACGTGAGCGGTAAAAGATTGATACCATGGGATCCACGAGGAATTCGCCAACTGAGCCCGCCGCCGTTCCTCCGCATCACTCAATTCGGCCTGTGCCAAAGCAATCAGGGTTTCCATTTGACTTTTCACTGCATTAAAAACCTTTATTGAATCTCAAATCTGGCTTCGGCCGAGCCCTTCGGTTAATACGAATGGCAACAAACGTTCTTATCTGCGCGCCGCCAACAATAACACGAGATGTCTGTGGTTGTGGGAGGCGAGGGTTGAATCCCGTGCCTCCAATAAGACTCATATTCCACCAGAGTTATGATGCGCGTATCAAAAGGAGGTAAACACGTCAAAAAAAGTTCCCCCTGTGACAACTGGCAAAGGTACTGTGTCATTTTCAAAGTATGTCTTCTCGGCAGCAGAAGTCTGCACGGTTATGGTTCACGTCAGAAGGGCTCATTATTTTGGTGGAGATGTTCACATCGCAACCACGGGTCTCGCATGGAGTAACATTATTTCACTGCCACTTGTGCATCCTGTATTCAGTATTTCAACTTCTGCAGATGTTAGAAGTGGAACTAACTTCTCCGATCTTTGGTTATTAACCGTTGAAGCTAAAACTCTGCAAGTAATTAATGTTCTGCGACTTCATATCCGGTTCAGTTTCAACACGAGAGTTCGACCCATCACAAAGTGGAGAAGTGATGCTCTGACGAACACGACTGGAGTTCAATCAGACTGCACATCTGGAGCCATTTCTCCCCGGCAACACGCAGCGTTTCGAGAGCGCGGGGCTTCGTTCTGCTTTCTGGAGACCCTCGGCTCTCTTTAATGACAGTAGACCATGTTGCTTTCAATGGATCAATTATCTCAGTCTCCTCCGACGACAAAGAGCTGCTCCCTGAGGTCGGCCCAGCCTAAGGCCCAGACATACACCGGGAATCTATTGTAAAAAGGAAAAGGCACGTGTGCGGTACACACAAACCTGCACAATAAAAACTAAGTCCTCGTCTCCTTTGACAGTTATCTCCGAATCAAATCGTAATGAGCCATTGTCAACAGAAAAAAAAAAAGACAGTGTGAACATCCTCTTACTATGTAAAGTAAACTCATAAAAGGACATCGGTACAATAAAGAGGAGCCATACAAATGAGTCACCCTTATCAAGAGGAAATAACGCTGTGAACACTTTGGGAAAAATAAATATGAACGTGGGAAAGTCTGAGGAGAAAGGTTAATTATTAAGTCCACTGAGATAAACCTGCACTGGGACATTACTTTTGAAGAAAGGGAGGAAAACATGACAGCGGCCATGCGCGGACGACCTACTTCTGTCATTTCAAACAAGGACGCCGAGATGAAGCCGCTGCAGAACTGGCAACCGAACCAAACTTAAGGGTTTCGAATACATGCGCGCATATTCATTTTAGCCACCGTATAAATGAAAGGGAAATGAGAGAAGGGAGGGATTTAAAGTATGCAGGGCACAGTGGAATTTCAAACCCCCAACCCCCTTCCCCTGTCTCCCCTTAAAGCCTTCACTGTGAAAAGCCCCCCCCCCCCCCCACAAGTTTCCATCACTTGGGTTTAACTCGTGATTAGCTAAATTGATTTGCCTTCTCACCTCTTTCCGTCTATAGCAACACAGCAGCTCCTCTATTTATTACACAGAGGCAACCATTGGTGCATAACATCCTGTCGTGCAAACTAGACTACAGAGGCAAATGTAGGAGTACAACATGTGCCTGCACAGAAAATGTGAAAACCACAAAATCTACTAACCCAGAGAGAGGGGGGGGGGGGGGGGGGGGGGGGGGATAGAGGGGGTCAAACGCCTTGTTCAAAAGGCACAGGGCTTGTTTACTGAATCACTGCAGGCTGCCTGCACTTCACCACCATAGGAGTCTCCGCTGAGGAAGCCTGGGAATAAACACAGGCCTGGCTTCCTTCAGCCCGTGTCTTGATTATACCTCTTTATTGTTATGAATTACCTACAAGTATTTCCTAAATGAGGACTATATTTAAACAGTGGAGCGGCGGAGTGCTTTTCAGCCTGAAGAATGCGTCCCACAAATGTTTCACTGCCCCCCCCCCCCCCCCACCACCACCACAATGTGTACTGTAAGTTTTAACACATGAAAAAAGAGAAAAGGCCCCACGTCTGCATGATGAACCATGTTTCCACACAGACGTTGACAGAAGCACAAGATGTCCACGTACAGAAGTGACAGTTTAACTCTTCTCTACCGTTTCATGTCGCTGACTTCTGAACTTTATGACATTTCTTTTCTTCTTTTTGGAAGATTTGGTCAACAAGAACACCATCTGGAGAAACATTTTAAAAGAGTTATGGCTTTGAGGAGCCAACTGTCTCCACTGTGTTTGAGACGATAACAATGGTGCTGCATTAAGACCTTTACCCAGGCCCGCATTATGCTAACGGGGCTAGCTTTAAAAGAAAAGTTCTCATTAGCCTAAGGACCACCGGGGGACTTCTCCGGGACCCGCGGGGGGTCCCCGGCCCCACTTTGGGAACCAACTGCCCTGGACTACAGTATTTTAAGGTTATAAGAAGCCAGAAAATATAACAACTAAAATAGCTCACCGTTGACTCCTTTGTTGGGGACATCGTTGACGTTGAAGCCTTTGGAGCTGTACGCGGCTCGGACGTCGTTGCAGTTTTTCAACTTTTGCTCCGCAGTCATCGACACACACAACACGACCAGCGTGCTCACTACACACAGCACCGACACGGGCTTCATGGTGCGGCAGCAAGAGCAAGGAGCTACACAGTTACCCGCACAAAACAAGTATTAAAAATAATAATATATATATATATATATATGTATGTATATATATATAAAGTCGCTCAGGTGTGTGTAGCCTAGCACAAAGTTTCAGCGACTCCCACGCCGAAGTTTCCTCATGGAGCCGCTTCAGCTCAACAGATACTTCATTCACAGCTCGGAGGCTCACACGACTGCGGAGGGAGGAGAAAGAACACACCGACAATCACGCAAACGTCGTCCGTTTAAAAGCACGGGTGTGTTCAGTGAATGTCGAGTTCCAGACTCAATCGAGAAAAACACGGGAAAAAATAAACTAAACGATAGTTTTAAAACATGGAAAAAGTTTTTTTTTTTTTTAAACTGCAGGCAAGAAACTCAGAAGCACACTTCTGCTTCACGACTTCGACGGCAGGTTAAATCACGGGAGGAGAGTGAGACGGTGGGAAGTGGCTCCTTTTTCTGCTTCCTCTCCCTTCTTTTTCTCGCTCTTTTCCAGACTTGAGGCCGTGGTTTTCTGCAGGACAGGACGCTGGACTGTACGCTGGTCGAACTGGGATCCAGATGCGAGCAGAAAACCCTAGTGGACACCTAGGAGTGAGTGCAAGTTCCGGGGACAAAGACCTGGAAAATAGGAACACCAGGGGTGGAGCATGGAGCAGGGACTTCAAAACCTGCCTCTCTCCTGCTATAAAGTCTACACTAGTGGGAACAGGCGGAAACCCACGGTTCTGAAAAGTCAAGCCAATGCAGAAGTTCCTTGAGTTTAGATTTGTTTTTTAAACAGCCACCAGGGGGCGACTCCTCTGGTTGGAAAAAGCATGGAAGTTTATGGGAAAATCAGCTACTTCTACCAAGATTTATTACCTCAGCGAACATTGTGAACATGAGTTTATGGCCTCGCTGGCTAGTTAGAAGTCATACATACAGCATGATGTCCATTTTTAAATGATGGTCCCATTTAGAGTCAAGTAGACAATATATAGACGTTCCTATTGACAGTCTATGGTCTTGAAAATCAGGACTGGAGCTGATGGTGGAGCATGAGGACTTATTATTGGTCCACATCACATAAGGAAAGCAAACACTAGATAACCAAAAGTCCTCAAAAATCACAAATCTCTTTAATTGCGGAGCCCCTCTTGACCTGGGTTAGAGAGGGCTTTCTTATCTGCTTTAACTGTCAGACTGGAGATAACCACACAGATAAAAGTCCTTTGAACTAAAGGTACCCGTAAGACCATTAGGGGTGTCAAACATTTTAAGAACACTTCGTGATTGAAGCTTGTCCGTGATGATACATGTTAAGACATTATCGTGCAGAATTCATTGTTTTTTTGACGAACTGCTGTCTTTGCTGCCTGACAGAGAGCACATGGCAGTGAAGACACGTTTTCTCCAAATGTGTTATTTCTGTCCGGCCTTTATAATCCGATGCATCTTGGTTTGTTTAAAACCCATTGGTTTAAAATCCGGCTCGTGGTACCGTAGCCATGCAGTCCAAATTACAGGCTCGGCCCTTACACAAACACAGGTCGGGCTGCTTGCAGTGGGGCCACCGTGCCTCTTATATGCAGCTGCCTGTCATATAGCGCGGCCAGTGTTATAAACTAGAGTAAACAGTCTGCTGGGAGCACAGCGGAGCTGCACAAGTGGACGGAGATGACGAAAGTTCTTATAAAAGTGATGGAATTAATGATGAATTACAACACAATTTGCTTTATTTTTAGGCACAAACCTTCTGAACAATCCAGCTGTTGTGTATTTCTATGAAATAATCCCCAAATCACTCCAAACTTCAGCTGAACTTATTCTTGTTTGTGTTGAAGCATCCGCAGAACGCCCTGGCGATAAACACCGAGGTCGAGGGAAAACCTGAGCAAATCCCTTCAACACAAAACAAGGTAATTTTCAGGCCGAATAGTTTCAACCTATACACGTGTCTGAAATGTTGGAGCCTGCATCCGCACTGAAATGTTACTTCTGCAACGTTTCAAAGTGCCATCTGCTCAACAGATACCCAGAATCCCCCCATATCCTGGCCCGGCCTCGACTCGCAAAAGAACATCTCTCGTGTCCTTCCCTCATATACTTCTTTCACATTGTTGCAATAATCGTTTTCTTTTGCCAACTCTCAGGGGCAGTTTGTTGGATCTGCTGTCGTGACCTTTGCCCTCCTTGCAACTCGCTTCTTCTTGCGATACTGGAAAAAAAGCCATTCAAGTTAAATTTCACCCTGATAAGACAATCAGTTAAATCCAAGGAATGTAAAAAGGTTAACTGTCAGCCTCTAAATTCACCCTGACAATTTTCCTCTCTTCACTATGAAATGCTAACAAAGTTTGAAATATTGGATATAGCATTCAATCGAGTGCACACATTTTGAACCCAGTCTTGTCCACAAATAAGTCGTAATAAGACTTCTTACCCCCTGCGTTTAAACATGCCAGGACTTGTGGGGTGCTTCTGTGTGCGTGTGTGTGTGCATGTGTGCGCACACGTCCAATGGTTTGGGGGGGGAGCACTCAGCAAAATGACATTCCTCCTTTTGTGTCCACATTCCTCGGGCGGCTCCATTCATTCCGTGTGACTGCGGCTGCTGCAGGGGAAGCCAGGGGTTGCCGAGGAGCGGGAGGAGGATGCTGGAGCCGTGTGCATGGGAGAGCGTGGGCCCAGGCGCTCCCCTCCACGGGCCAACAAAAGGTAAGAAAATGGTCCAGTGCCATGGTAATTAGACATGAATGAGCTTTGAACGACGTGACGTGTCTCAGGCTTTTGCTCTCCAGCAGAGGAATTTCAACCTCCAGCTTGGTTAAAAAAAAAAAAGAAGAAAAAACGATGGGACTGGTGCCCGAGCACACTCAAGCACCTGAAACACATTGTTATTTTAATTCACGTGCACCGCTTGATGACCCCTCGGGCTCGTGAAGGTACCCAAGCCCAAACATCTTTGTGCGACCATGAAATGCTGCTGGAATACATATTCATTAGGGACTCAATCACTCAGGCAGAAAATGCAACAATTCCTGATGCTCAGCTATTCTCACTGTTCCTGCTGACTAACATCAAATCGACCTTTCTCTCTCATAATGCCTGCCCTTCCAACATTGCCCCAATATTACCCTAAGAAAACACATGAACTCTGCATTTCAATAGGCCCGTTTGCCCTTTCTCCAGCCTGGCATTAGCATTCAGAGTACAACCCCCCCCCCCCCCTCCCCCCATCGTTTCATTGTTGAGCTGTGAGTGAGCGTCTGTTACCTGGTTGAGGTGACTCCAGGGGTAAAACTAATGGGGTTCAATGTAGAGAAACCCCACAGAGAGCAGATGTCATGCCCGGGGTGGTTCATCATCACACATGCCGCTTTGAGGCTTCGGAGGACTAGCAGCACACTCCAGAGAAACATAAATGATGTGATTCACGAAGACAGCTTTGAAGTGGATCAGAGGGTGAAAGGCACATAAAGTAACACATATACACTTGCAACATTGTGTGTCCTGTTCATAACCCCTGTGGCACGCCTTCCATTTTCTCTCCCTCATCTTCCTGGCTCTTAAACAATGCCCTATAAAAAAATGTGACGTTCAAGGTGTTCGAGCTGATCGTTCTACGTTTTTTTGGTTACCCACTTTTCTTAACAATCTAGCCTCCCCACCCGTTCCTCTGTTGCTGATCTAGATGGACATTTCGACAACCCCGGAGAACTCGTTGTATATAATTGAGCCAAAGCTCAGTGGTGGTGACGTGAAGTCAACACAAAGACGGCGTCAGTAGCAGGGGTTTGTCTCATTAGTCCACAAGCTAAAGAATGTTGCTTCAAAAATAATTTGAATAGACTTTATAATCACTACAATGGACTCTACAAAGACTCATGGGAACTACAGTTGCAATAGTTGTTTTATCTTAATTAAAATGGGGCATTCAAATGTTAACGTCCTGTTATAATAGATTTAATAGAAAATACCAGAGAGAAAAGAGAAAACCACAAAAACTGAAAACCTGTGAAGCAGGAAGTGAGAAGGAAGTGAAGCAGGATCTGGCCTTTTCCAATTACTGTAACTGTGGATTAAATGTACGAGCAGAGAGCAGTCGAGATGATAATAAAACAGTTAATAGAGTTTTTCCACTTGGGAAGTCACTAAACGTGCTGCATTTCAATCTGGTGTACTGTGGCTGCTGTTGGTGTACAAACTAGCAACTGTTGTTTGTACAATGGATCACTTCCTGATTGTTGAGAGCTGTGCAAAGTCTAGCACGAATCCCCTGCTCTTTGATTGTGAGGCACACTTACCGGCGATGTGTTAGGTGACTGGACTGTTTCTGACATTGATCCCTGTGTCGCTGCAACAGGAAAAAACCTGGAGGTGACCTCACATCCTCTGTGTTTGACCGGGAGAGAGATACACGACTGAAAAGACTCCGTGAATGCTTATAGTTCAGGCTAGAAATCCCGCCTATGGGCTGCCATTGATTAAGCGGTTGGAGCGCGGGGACTGTGCAATGCTACAGAACAACAGACCACACCTGCTCGCACCTTTCTGTAATGATGGGTGTAGTCATGTGTGAAGTCCTCTCCTCCATATATATATATATAAATAAGAGGGTTGGAATCTTTCCCTCTAAAAGGTCCTGAAAACATGTTTTCTCAGTCAGCTTCTTTCTGTGTCAGTGATTTCACCAATATTCAGCAATATTTTAATAAAATTAATCTGCCTTCCACACCGTTCCACAGATGAGCTTTGTTCTGTTAATTAATATATATTTAACATTGAGGTTCATCTCATATTAAGATTTAAAACCAGTTTACAGGAGTTCTAACGTGGAGCTGCTCTTTAAATTTGATGTGCTCAGCTGGATATTTCCTTTCAACTACCTTCGATATAAATTTAGATACGAGAAATACGTTAATATGCATTATCATATTTGTTACGACTGTATTTATGACAAAAGCAAATCTGCACAATAGTACACATGTCCACCATCACTGTACGATTACAGGGTCCGAAAAACATTCCTGGCAAAGACATTCTTGGCTTATGAGTCAAAACACCAGGTCTCCCATCGCGACTGTTGAAACTCATGAAATAAGAAAAGCTCATGTCTTTCCTCAACACAAGAAATCACAAAACACTAAAACATGTTTAGTTTATTATACATTTCCTCATCAGCATTTAACTGAAACCAAAAAATCACCATATTTTACGACTGGGCATTGGTTCTGATCAACCCTCAACATGTCTCATGACTAGAACAGGTGTAGCATAAAACATGAATGAAGGCTGCGTTCTGTTGAGGTGCACTCTGGGTACTCTGCTGCATGCTGGATCCCTGACCGGACCACACCTGAATGGAACAGAGCCACCGTTGTTGTTCTCAGTTACACCTGTGCTTTGTGCTGTGTGTCTGTTTAGGACGCCTAAGAGGTGGATGGGTGGATATTCGGACTGTGCTCGGCAGCGGATACACTTTCAGCTTTAAATGAGTGTCTTTCCAAACACCCCCCCCCCCCTCCTCCAGTCTAAACAAAGGAGCTGGAATCCAGTTTTCACCCCACAAAACAAACTAAATCTGACTTCAAACAGAACATAGAAGGAGAGATAATTAAATACAAAGGCCAGACTTTGAGAATATGTGAGCTCAATGCAAACCAACTCAGTAAATTACACACATTTATATTTCACATTACTCATCGCTTTTCCCACAGTGCCAAAGAAAAAGCTCAAAAATTCACAGCGATGCTTCACAGTCCAGCCCACACACCACACAGTCTTGTGAAATAGGCCAATATTTCAAAGAAACATTTTTTTTGTAAACATAGCAACACAGAGAAACATCTGTACAGTCATCAGGCTGATTTAGAGATTTAGGCTTTTATGATCTTTTGTTGTTGTTATAGGGCTGTTACTTTAAAAAAATCAGCATTAGAAAGCAAACACTGACGGTGGGAGTGTGAACACTTGAGCTGACGGAATCAGTCTGAGATCATTTAGCTATCACTAGGACACAAACAATGAGAGATAAGGGGGGGGGGGGGGTAAAGCTGGTGGAGGCGGTTTGTTTTTGGCGTCATTGGCAAAAATTACATAATAACCTTTCAGCACATTATAATTCAAGTGGTCTGAGAAGAAAACTAGACCGTGGCTCTTGTTTTCTGGCTTCAGAAAATCGAGCGCGTGACAACAAACTTTGGCCAATCACAAGTCATTCCAGAGAGAGGGCGTTCCTATTGGCTCTTCTACATATGCAGATACACGTGCACTTCCCTTCAGATGGTGAAAGCCTGATTCAACGGCGGAATATCCTGCAAAAGAATGTTGCTATTCCAGCACTGCCAACGACTGCACAGCGAACCAAAGGAAGACGGAGTTGAGTCGATGTTTATCCTCCTGCTCCTACCTCACAGCTACGGTTAGCAGAAGGCTAAACTATTAGCATCCTTTTCTCTCCAACTCTGAAACTCATCTTAAAGGTCTTCATAGGCCCACACGTTTCCAAAGACAACAACGGCCTTGGGATCCCAATCACGATCAACATTAAAGTTTAAATGCATGACTAGTACTCGTACGTATGCACGTGCTCCTCTGGTGGGAGGGGCTTAGCGCTGTATTTTTTTCTTCTGGCATTCTTTTTGCCTTTTCCAGAAACCTGCCTACCCTGGCGAATAACAAAATGCTGAAAGATTAGAATGGATTTCTTTTGCCCAATAACTCCATGAATAAAGTGGCTACCGCAGCTTTAAGTAGTACCAGGGCATCTTAAGGTACAGTGCAAGTTTAAATAAGGGTTTCACCTCAGCCTCTGGGGATAAGGAGTTCACAGCAACTCCCCAGCTGGAGCTCAGTCCTGGCAGCAGATCAGTCACTGCCACAGAAGAGAGTAGCAAAAGTTTTTTCTTCTTCTTCCAACTTGGTTCTGCAGGGCAGTAACGCGTTGCAGACCGGGAGCATTTTTAAAAAAGGTCTGTTGCGTGTCTGTTCTCCAAGGAGCTCCTCACTCGCAGGTCCATGACACAGCCGTGTGATGACGAGGCCACCCGTCAACTCCGTCTTCACACGGAGGTCAGTAGGAGAGCAGGGAGGAGGCGAGGCAAGAGGGCACAAAAGTCAAAGTGGGAGTTTGTTATTTACACGACGCCGTGGGTTTATCTGGTGTGCTTTAACAGGTTTTGTTGAGGGCCGACAGTGATTTTGAATGAAACAAAACAGGTTCTTGCTGAGAAATGTAGCACTTATTATTTGACGCTCCCTTTGATGAGCCACTGAACTTTATACTGGGAACCGTACTCAAAAGATACCCCAACCAGTTCCTCAGAGTTGGTATTGAATCCTAGGGGGAGAGAGAGTGTGAGAATGCACCGGTCAGTGGGGACGAAGCAGGAGCAGAGCGAGCGCCACGGGGAGCATCGGGACCAGGCGGCTCCTCCACAGCGGAGCAGCAGGTGAGGAGGCGCCGCCGGCCCCGGCCGTGGCCAGGCGAGGGGTCAGCAGCTGCTCCTGGAAGATGAAGTCGTCCATCGCCAGGTTATCGGCCAGGTCTGAGAGGGAGGTCGACGGGAGACAGCGGAGAGGAGACAAAGAATGAAAGATATGAGCGACGCAGGGAAAAAAAAACAGGCGCGGAGACAATTAGAACAAACACTGTCACAGAAGCTGAAAAACATGTGCGGTGCGCCTGTCCTCCTTTCGCATGATGTCTCACACAGCTGTAAAAACAATGTTGCACTCTGAGAACGAGAAAACTCCGAGCTCCGCATAGAACCAGATGTCGCATGTTATTGTTGCAGACACATGCATAATCACACATACGCATATTTCACCCAGAGTGAGTGTTGAAATGTGGATTTAAGTGGTGAGATGCTGAAAACAAGAAATGAAAATTAAAAACCACAGAGACTGAATGAGGTCATGTCTCACAATCTGAAACACGCAATCATTTCGACTGCCGTGTGTCTTGTCTTTGATACAACTTCAACCTACAATACTTTGTTGTTGCGTTTGGAATTTTAAAGTGGGTAAAGGGAATGACACCTCACTTTTACTAGTGAAGGTACGTTGTAGGCACCAGGGAGGGAGTTATATTCATGTGGAGGGAGATACTCCAGAGACAAACCAGGGTCACGTGACCGACAATATCAGCCACAGGCACTGTGATTTGCAAATGTGACCAGCTAGGTTATGTATTTTCGCCCTGCGAGGGTCAACGCTGTTCTGCATTTTAAAATAATAGTATTTGCGGCTAACGCTTTTACTTCCACCGCGTTGTTGATCATACACAGGTGATGTCATCCGCTGTAACCGCTGTCGCCCTCAACTTTCACCTCTCCCTCCACAACGACCGTAGAGGCGCCCTCGAGCAAGGCACTTAACTCATTTTGCCGCAATGGCGCCTTTCAGTTGGCGGTAGACTGGGAGACGCCCAGGTGTTTTTCACTGAGCGCCACAGAGATCCTTGGTTGGATAAATGAAAGTCTGAAAAAAGTGAATTACTCCTCAGTCACTCCCGTACTTCACTGTTTTTCCTCCCTTCTTCTCCATCTGTTCTGCACACTGCAGTGACTTTGCGGTCACCTGCTGCTCCGCTCCCACTTGATATCTCGCTGCTCTGCATCCACAGCTGTCTCTCCTACCGACGCTGAGCAGAGCTCTTCCTCCCTCTGTGTGTGTGTGTGTGTGTGTGTGTGTGTGTGTGTGTGTGTGTGTGTGTGTGTGTGCGCGTGTGTGACATATTCTGTGCCGCTTCGCCTGGCAGAAAGTTGTGAGGGAGACTGAAATAAGAAGGCAGAGCTATATGAGGGAGGGCGGGAGGATATCAGTAATAAAGCAGCTCTATGGGTAGGAACGCCAGCTATGAGCCCCTGTCAAGCCAGACGCAGAGCGCACAAGCACACACACACACACACACACACGTTGGTGCATTTCTGACATACCTCTCTCTCACACACACGTCTTGGTGGCTGGGCGGCACATTTTCCCACTTTCTCTCACTCACACACACACACACACACACAGTCACTCCTGAAATAACGGATAGCTCCAAATTGAATTAGCCGTCTGATCTGTGTGCTCCCGAGTGGGAGCGATCCGGTGGGAGGAAGTGGCCGATCCGAAGCATTGCATGATCAGAGGGAGCGGCCAGGATTCCGACTAAAGATTTCAGGCCTGCTCTCTCCTTGAGTAGAAACACAGAGAACGGGGCCCTTCCTCCCGAGTCCCCCGGTGCCCACGGGCCCCTAAGCTGCCAGGGAGCCATCTTAAAACAGAGGAAGGAGGCAAATAAACAAAGCTCCAAACAGCACCTCCTGTGAATTTCTTCGCGGCTACGACATCATTTGAACAGCGGCCAGGGGACAATTAACTTTCCTTTTTTTCCTCCTCCTGTGTCCTCTGACATGACAGTCGGCAGACATTCTTCGGGGCTCTGAAAGAACGATTTGTCACTGTCGACAGCGGCGCACTGTACTGCCGAGCCAATTAAGCTCAAGGTGCAATTCGATACAGCTTTTATATACACTGCGGATAAGATGGAGGGCGGAGGGGGGGGGGGGGTGCATGCACGTCTGCATTTGTGTGTTTGTGTGCGGGTGATTGAGTGGGGTGTGCACGCCCGTCTCTCTGTGTGTGTTTGTGAAAAAGCGGGAGACTAAGTGGAAGAGCATTGTGTTGGTGTGCTTTACAGCGGCAATAATGTGAGTGAAAAAAAAAAAAGTCTCAGGCGGTGAAGAAAATCCCTCAAACCGGGGGGGTGGGGTCTCTCTTGCTAGTTTAAACACTTCGACATGAGCAGCACCACAGAGGGGCCTTGTTCTGCAGGCTTTAAAAACAACCCAACAGGGACTGAACACTATGCAAACTTAGATCCCCTACACTCCTGCACAGGCCTGGGCCTAATAATACCCTGGTATCATTAGTGACGAACACCTGTGCCTGTGTGGCAGACTACAGACAGTGAGAGCGAAAGACAGTCAAACAGGCAGACAGAAGTAGCTTCTTTTTCTCTTTCCCTTTTCGGGGCCTTTTAAGGAGGAGCCCGGGACAGTGGACAGGCGGGGGACGATTAGGTGCATAGATGGATAACTCCCGGCTAAAAATAGAGCCACAATCCCGACTGTGATTAATGGGACCAACTCGGGCCCTTGTGGCTTTCAGCGGAGCCGGGCCGTCCTCCTGCTCGCCCATTTTGAGACTGTCGCTCCTCAAAGGAAGCCACCTTGCTAGCGTTCCCCCTGCTGGCTTTATTGTGGCCCTCATGAGCTCGAGTTACGACCCAGGGGAGAGGTCAACAGTCCACCCATTGATTGGGTGCACTAAGGCTCCGGTCTAAGAATGAGCAGGTAGGTCAGTCACCAGGGGTGTAAATATAGACAGTGCAGGCAGTACTGGGGCCCGTGGGATGGGGGGGGGGGGGGGGGGG